AACCAATGCGTTACAAACGGTACCGTTGCGTAGACGAATTGGTAACACGATGAACTGAAAAAAAAAAATAAAAAAAGTTCATCCTCGATCGCACTTAATCGTCCGCGAGAAAAATGTGATACGAAAAAACATTGAGTAGTACGCGTTCTCGCATCATAAATAGGTACAGTCAGTGGAGGTCTTACAGGGCAGTTCCCCCGACCCAAGTTCTCACATTAAGGCTGTGATATATTATTCGATCGGGACACTCGGGTTTAAAATTATATGTTATGTTTTTCATAAGAATTACATGTTAAGTAATAAATTATTGAGGGGTTAATAAATATTTTTGGGTCTTAATATGTTATAAGATAATATCAAAGACCCCCCCCAAAAAAATTCTAAAAACCTCCACTGGGTACAGTTCATGTTCTAATGAAAAATACCCGGCTTTCTAGAACATATTATTATAATCAACATCGGTCATACAGCATCACATACAATATAGACAGACACAAGTACAGATTTACCCGCTGCGGAGTCGATTGCAAAACTTTGATGGCTCATAGGCACTGGATTTACTCTACCCAGTGAGCGAACAATAACGCGAGATTACGACCAAACCGACTCTAAGCGTACAATAATATTATTCACATGGGTTTGGTACGTTCAGCAATCATTTTTTTCTTTTTCATAACGACCTACCATAATTAAGAGATTAATATTGATAGTGGCGCATTTGCTTATATTATTGTAAAATTATCAAAAATCTTATACGAAACGGGGTCAACCGTTGAAATGGCAACTGACTATTTATTCCCACTTACTTCTTTTTTACCATCTTAACCGTGATTTCCGTTCGGATTTCACAACTAAATAGACAAAAAGTTAAATGCTTATATGCAATTGTATCAATATCAAATCAAATCGTTTGGTTGAATAATATTATCATTGAATGGTTAATAGTTCAAACACACTGGCTTTCAAAGTTAAATAAAATTTGCACTGAAATACAAATCCTTAGACGATTCTGTGTTGTTGACCTGTACGAGTTTAGTTATCTTTCTTCAGTATAACCGATTAACTATCGAATAATATAATATTATATATTTTAAGGTACAATGGGAATTGTGAAATTCTTTGTACTTCTCAATGAATAAAAATTAAAAGATTATGAATAACTGTAAAAATTAAGCCAACTAGTTGTTATACGTATACGTTTTAAATTAATTGGCACGAAAATAAAAAAAAATTGAAAAAATTCATAGATTTACTCGTTACTGTATAATTTATTTGTTTTAAAATCGAATGGACGCATTATTTTAAACGTGTAACGTTAAGTCGATGAAAATTAATTAAATATTATTTTGATGAACTTCATAAGTTTACACTTAACTTATGTTAACCAATTACGGTGTAAAAAAAACTAATTAATATGATTCAATAATTCAACTAAGAAAAAAATTCGACTGTCAATAATTAAAATCCATACAAATTAATCAAAATAAAGTCTGAGCAATTTTTATGGTGATATATTTTACATTTTTGCAACAGGAGTCGTAGATAAAGTTAGATACCGAATTAAAATTTTAATTAATATACAGTATTATTAGAAATTAACCATAGTATTTATTACGTGTTATTATTTTTGGGAATAACGTGGCTAATCGATCTAAGAAATTTATCAAGTACACAAATTACATTATGATGTGAATATTAAGTACGAAATAAATTAATTTCAATGTTTACGTGTATTCGCTATAGACGGGAAAAAATGTCATTGCAATTTTCAGTAAATACAATATTTGCTTAAATCTACAATGATATATACTATTAATTTGATATTCGATAGCAAAATATATGAAAACTGTCCAGCATAATACTGCAGTTTTTCAGTGAAATATAATACTTTCAGAGATAATAGTCACGGATACAAAGTGTTATCACGTTCTTGTTTTCGCATTATTTTTTGTACTTCTTTAACGGATTGGCAGTCATTATCTCGATTATTGAATGATACTAATCAACTGACTATACCTGGATCTATTGTAGGATACCTATATCTGTTCACAAAACTCGTTCAGACGATAACAATATTAATAAAACAATTTTGTGTCGTTTGGAAAAGAAAAAAATCACAAGATAAAATAAAGACTATATAACTATAAGACTATAATAACACTATCGGTAATTATTCAATTTAATCAATTCTTACTGTTTTTAAATCTAATAAGATTTAAACACTTCACTAAAAGTAATATGAGTGAATTATCTTACCATGGTTTAAAAATTAAACATATTTCAGAAATGGTTTACACAAATAATAATGTTTATGAGAAGTTTGGAAAAAAATACCTAAAATACAATATTATTTCACTCATACCCAATTTATTTGTATAAAACTGTTGAAAGGAATATTTCAGTTTTAAACGAGAAGAAATATTTAATTTTCAATAAATAAATATCCAAGCGCAAGGATCACAGTGGCTTATTTAATGTATTGAAAATGATGATAAACATCATCATCAATAATTGTCAACAAAATTAATATCTGACATTAAGCTAGTTATTATTGTTCCAGATGTATAGAACTTATTATTGCTTATTAACTTATTATTATTCCAGATACAAGCGCATATTTTACACGTCATAATGTATCGCGTTCTACATTAGAATGAAGTAGAGTTAATACTACTTATAACACACCAGATATTATATTTTGGAAAATAAAAAAACTTTAAAAGTCTTTAAAAGATAAAATACCAACAATTACAATGCAATCATATAAAGCTGAAAAAGACAAAAGGCCCTGACCACGTCTGTGCATTTCAAACGAATGATATACAAACATATTGTAACGACCATAATAAATATATACTGATTAAATGCCCGAATGGAAAGATTAAACTTTAATACACATAATATTATACATCACCGAGTTCATAAAAGGCCTCTTATAGATCCTTGTACCTCGACGAACGCTAAATTGATTGAGGTCTTTCTAATAAAAAGAAGTTTAGTTCCGATCTTTGAGCCCCAATGAATATGTATATATACCTAGTACAAGGTTAAAACAATTTATTATTTTCATTACAAAAATAATCTAAGTTTCACTAGTTTTGAGCGCACATAAATTAGTTCTTTAACGCAGGTACGTTTGTAAACTCTTTTTTCAAACAAAATGAAAAAAAAAATTTAACTTGTGCACTATTTATCTATTTATTTTCATAAATTATTCTTATTGTTCTATGTTGTAAAAGATTGAATAAAGAAAAAAAAACTTGTGCACACAAGTTATTTGCCAACTAATGCCGTAGAAAAACAGAAGTTAAAATAACTTATTATGAATATTTTACCCATTATGATTCATTAAACAAACGTGTACGCGCGTACAAGTGTACATATTTCATACATTTGAGAGCATACAATATAGCAGCGTTTCCCGACCTATGGATCGCGATCCAATACTGGGTCACAAAATATTTTTAATGGGTCGCTATTCGTAAACTAATAACAAGAAAAATATTGGAGTTATAAAAATATAAATATATACATTAAAATTCAGTTATACAGTATTACACTAACGTATATGATTAAACTTCTTATAATAAAATGATTAATATTGTTATAATAAAGCATGCTAGATTTTTTTTTTCGTGGTGGTCATCTACCCAATACAAATTTCATTTATGGGCCGCAATAGTATAAAGGTTGGGAAATATTGTAATATAGTATGTTGGAAGAAATGATTTTCAAAAAACGTCATTGAAAATTACTCGTGAAACAATATGGCAGGGACTCATATGATTCAAATGCTGTAAAGTCTTACACATAAAAAAACGTTTTTGAAAAATCCTTGCAGATGATCTAAATGTTATTGTATCGATACGCGGAGGAGTGGATTTATGGTTAGGGAACGACATGACGATCTTTGATTTTTTTTTTATTTTGTCACAGATTTATTAAATATGTTTGATACAAGTATACAATCGTACAGATGTGCATAGTAAATATTTATAAATATCTGATATCGATTACTATGTACGTTTTTGTATAGGTATTGCGTTTTATGATAATAAATAATAGTATAATACATAATATAGTAATATAAGTAAAGTGACAAGAGAAGATAGAATAAGAAACGAATATGTGAGAGATAGTATTGGTGTAGCGTCGATAGTGGACAAGATGAGAGAAAATAAACACTGTAAGAGTTGTTATGAAAATGAATATTGAAAGGAAAAGAGAAAGAGGAAGACCAAAAAAGAGGTGATATAGGGGGCTCCGTTGGTGTGTGCGTAGGGGATGTAGGAAATCGAGACGAGTGGAAGTTTAGGACAAGGGTGGCTGACCCCAAATAGTTGGGAGAAAGACGTAGAGAAGAAGAAGACATAATATCGTACCAGTAATAATATTCCTATTTACCCCTTCCACGTAAATAAGTATTCAGATCCACTCCTGCAGCGTACGCGCTTGAATCGACACGGACCATTGTCCTATGCCAAGCGACCAGTGCGGTCCACGAACATCCCTTGCACACGTTAATAACAATAATAACAATGTTGTTCTGTTCGTCCGTTGCGCACGAAACAAAACCGACCGTATGATATGCAAATATTGTAATATTACAACATTAACCCTTTCGCAACTTTCGTCGAAATCTTCCGGCACAGGGGAGAATCCAGGGTCAGATAACTATGGTTCAAGCTATTTCAAGAGGCCACTTATAAGGGCTAAAACTGGATTATAAATATATACCTTGTAACAAGAAAAGTCTAGTATTAACTTCGACCAACAGTCGGCAAATTTAAAAAATATGAGAACCTTTCGAGAAGGCCAATCTCGTCAAAAAATATTGTACAATGCGAGTCACTGGACTTCCCGAACACCACTAGATCCCCCCCCGGGTTCGGCGGTCGAAACGATCGCGCCCGCACGTATTCGTGGAAATACGTGGCGAGTACAGTAAACGAAACCGACGGACGTGACGTACGGGTGTAAAACAGCAGTCGTTTCCTTACCTTCGGTATATTATTGTTTGAACAGTCCTGCGCTATGGGGTGAGCGCGACGGCCGTCGCTGCAGGAGTCGTCGTCGTCGGGAAACGCCGACCGCGTTCACGTCGCATCACGCGAGATCAACCCGCCCGTTGCAGCCGTATGCAGTAGACGACTCGAGACTTGCACCGGATTTATTATTGTTATTATTGGCGTGCGCGACGACGATATGCGCGCAAAGTGGCCGTCGGCACTGTTCGGGTGAAACGTTCACGCGGATATTGTGCGTCGGATTGTAAATACGTGTACTATAAAAAAACGATTTGAATAATGGCGGAAACGATGGGGGGAAAGAAATAATAAAAAAATATTAAAACAAAAGCGAAATGTTCTGTACCGTTCACGAACGCGTTGCGCACCGAACGCACATAGTATTACGGCTATTGTTATTGTTAATAATCGCGATTATTATAATTATTGTAATTATCGTGCCGTCGGTCGATCGACGTTCGGCCGGTAGCTGTTACGTTACCGCACTACCGTACGAAAATGATCGTGTCCACGGGGCTACGGGAGACCGCCAATTTGTCACTACTATTGCACCGCGGTACGCGCGTATATGTTATATACGCGGAGGTATAAACGCCCGTCGCCCTCTCCGTCCCCCACCTGGTGGTCCGCGGCGATTTTCCGTCCGCACCGCACGCCGCGACGGACCGCCCGCGAACGTATCACCGTCACTCCGCGATCGCCAACGTACGGCAACGTCATGTTAATCTTTGCGGCGTACCGCGAGACCGCCGGTCGCTGCGCGACATTATTCGTTCGGACCCGGGGGTGGGTTTAAGGGGGTGGCTAAGGGCGCATAAGCCGGGCGGGGTACTAAGTCAACTATTTTACACAGCCGAGTATTATCATACGATATTGATTTATTAAAATAATTATTATAAAATATCGTCGATCGTCATTGATGAATATGGTACCTATTTCAAGCCCGAATCGATGTGGGCCAAAGGGGGCCATGGCCCCGGGCCTACAACGGATATCAAACAATAGTGGGCCCCTGGTGGGTAATAGGTTTTTTTCGTTTTTTTAATTCTTTTTTAACTCGTATAAAAAAAACAAGTATAGAACGAGCAGTTCTAAAGGAAATTTAAATAGTTTTACGGTTTTGTGTTCAGTGATGATTTGGAGGTTATTACTACCAATGATATAATTAAAGGATTTGCTTCCCAAAAAGCAGAAAAAAATTATTTATACAAATAACATTTTTATTTTTGTATCTAAAAAAGCGAGAAATAAATTTATAAATTAGAAAATAATATTTTTTTTTGTCCTTGAAATATATTTATGTGCGGATCACCAATATTTTGATTATGGTTATGGGCCATAAAATTGTTTGATCCCGGGCCCTAAATTATCATAATCCGGGCTTGCCTATTTTATATATTTTTTTTTATAAATCAATAGCTCATTTTCGTCGTTAATTATATGTGTACACCTTTATTTTTCAAATGGTTTCAGATTAAAATTGATACCAATAATGTAATTATTTAAAATTTGTCACTATTGTGAAAAAATAACTTACTTATGGGGGACTCGAAAACATATTTTGTAATTTAAAATTTTATATAGATTGAAAAAACAACTAAATTCTTGAACCTCCATTAGCTCCTCCCTTGGTGAGTGATAAAACCCACCCCTGTTCGGACCGATGGTCGTTTTTCGAAAAGCATAAAATGAAAACCGTTATCGTTACGGCGATGTACGGATGACGAGGGTGTCGCGAAATCCGTGACGCGCGAACGGTCGAAAACACGTTTTATTTTTATCAGGAAAAGCAATAACGCCACGCTTTTAAAGGGTAGTACCACCGACTATTTCGACGACTCTTTCCCACTCATGGCTACTCGTTCGTCGTAGTAGTGCTGCGCATGTAATTAATTAAATGTTACGAGTTATTTAACGATCCGCACGGTTAATGAATTAGCATCGAGTATTCAAGAACTAAGAAAAATCACACAGAGAAAATTAATTAAAACGTTTATTGTAACATGTTTTTTCTTTTAATTTTTTTGAGAATAATCTCTTATCCGTTACGTTTAAATATCAATTGATGTTTTCTTAATTATTCGGACAAGTTATGTATGAAATAATTTTCATACAGTAATGGCACGCGGGAAAAAAGAAAAAAACAAGGACACGTATAGTGGGAAAAATTTCCGCCCCTACCGTAGTACGATTACGACTTTAGTACACATTACAAGTATATTTTTCACATTTTCGCATGAGTTGTATGCGTAATCTTTTTTCCGCTAAGACCCGCAACGTTCGGAAAAAAACTCCCTCTATCGTTCACAAAGCACTTTCAAAAGTTGTAACGTTTATTTCGGCTCAAAGTCGATTATTTTAAAATTGTAACCTTTTGAATTTGATTTAAGTGTCCCGACACATAAATCTCTTGTTATATAAATACACAAACCCAATGTTTTAACTAAGTTTAACTTTTTAGTACAATTATATTTACGATTTTAAAGAAGAAAATACCTATCATGATTTTCTATAGCTAACAGTGATATTTTTCTCATGACAATGAATGTTCTATTTGTCACGTTTTTAACGTAAACAACCTAGCAATTTTTTTTCATTGCATATAATGTTGTACGTTTACAGTGTTAAAATGAAGTACAGTGGACCTTCAGCGGCACTTGGTTTATAAAAGAGTACTTAGTTCTTATTCATTATAAACGCATGTACGCGCAGGTATATGCGCAGAAGAAATAAACAATGTATGCACGTAATTATTACATCAACAAATAATGCGATAGATAACTTAAAAAACAATGGCCTCGTAAAAGAAACGCTGCTATTTTATACTTAATAAAAAAGTGCACTTTTCTAGAAGATGCACTACGAAAATTACCTGATAATGAACATAAATATATTTTAATAACAATTGTTTTAACGCGCTCGAATTATTTTCGTTCCTAAAGTATTCCTCGGATGTATAAAAATACATGCATAGTTCTATGATTACAATCATAAGCTAGTAGTTTTTTAAACAATAACTTTTCCTAATGAGTCCATAATACGGCCTGTGTACAACTTAATTAATTCAATAATGAATAACTATATTACATTTTATAATTCATATTATCGATTACGATCGGTTTTCTATTACAAATTGTTTATGCCTAGACGAATTACTGGCCAAGATAAATAGTAATCATTTATAAATTATTTAGCTTTTAAATAGATCGATGGAATAATTGTTATTTATATAACTATATTTATATAACTGTAGCATTATGTTATTGTACAATTACATGAATTTATTATTATTAAATTAATCTGAAAATAAATAACGTTATGTTTTAAACTATGAATGCAAATACCTTTTTACGTATATGTATATATAAATTATATGCACCTATCGTATTTTAACATATATTTACTTTTTCCTGTAAAATATACATTTTTATATTTATTTGTCTAATTAATATCTGCCAACATATAGCACGTGGAAACAATTTTAACATAAATGGAATTTATATTTGATTTTACATTAATCAACCTTGTAAATCTTTTATTCTTTGGAACTAGTACTTATATGTAGTTTTTAACATTTATTTGTTTAAAATAATTAAAAACACGCGTATAAAACAAGAATTAATTTAATTTTTAAAACCATTGTTCGTAAACCTTGTACTGAGTTCAAAAACGATAGGAGTTTATCGAAAATGACGCTCGAGCATGTATATCATATTTTAAATTATTTTTCTCTACATTATTTTCAACTTCAAGTTAGACAGTAAATAGTTTCATTTATATAGCTATAGGTTTCCGTGAGTGAAACTCAATCTGTTTTCATTTATATTGCAAATAAATGGAAATCTTTCCATTCTGATATATACTATGCACCGATATACGCGATAATGTTTTCAATCGATTTATTCGTCCGAAGCAAAAGAACTTCAAACAATTATATTACACTCAATTTATAATTGTTTCAATATAAAGTTAAATGCACATTATTTTTTGTCCTCTGTTATGAATACATAAGATAACTTGAATTTTTTTCTTAAACAATCATTTCATACCTTGTACACAAATAGATAGGTACTGGTGGTACACGCTGTTTCATTAATATTTGTTTCCGTACTTAATCAACATTTTAAAACATATCTATTTAGTATACTAGGTATTATTACTTAATTATTTTCACTGTATCGAATGAAATACATTTTTAGATTCTCCAACGAATTAGTAGTACAATTTAATTAAAGTTTGGAAGGAGGCGTGCAGTAACGTGTCATGGCCACGCAACAATGTTATGTTCTATTTTGGGGTTAGACGATTTTTTTTTCTTCCTTCATTATTATTATACTTTATTGCTTCTAATAAGCACTTGTTGCATGTATTGTTGCCTAGAATAAAATATTTATGAAAATATAATAGCGATTAAACCTACGTTATGATATGAACGTAAAGTTTCCAATCAGATGACTATATGACCTAAAATGATACATTGAAAATTGTCAAAAAAAAAATAGATGAAATTAATATAATTACTTCAATAATATAATTATTACAACATCATACTAATTACGCAATATCGTAAAGAGAATCAATCATAAAGATAGGAGTTCTCCGGCTTTTGATTTTTTACGAATTTTTAAATAAGACACTCTTCAAGAAGATTTAAAATTCGATAACAAAAAAAAATAAATATCAAAAGATAAAAACTCATTTACAAAAGTTGAACGAACATCCTCATCGAACGAAAAAACTAGCGTAATATACATTAATATTAATATTATTATTTTATTTTTTAGTATTCATAAAAAATAGTTAATGCAGCTCCTTTGGCAAATTATCATTTTGATAATACCGATGAATCATCATTCGTAAGGTATTATAATACAGTCGAGTCACAATAACTCGATCCTCGATAACTCAAAAAACTTGACAACTTGAATTGTGTTTTATTCCCCTAGAAAATTCTTTCCCTATAAATTAGTTAAATATCTTGAATAATGTATATCTCAGAGTGAGTTTTTATCCCCCTTTAACTTCGAGTTATCGCGACTCGACTATACTAACTATAACTAACTATAACTTGACTATAACTAACTGAAATATACCTAAAATAATAAATTCATAGTAATTAATATTTATCTAGAAAAAAGTATTAGAAATTGATAAAATACAAGATGATCAACTACATTTTTGATTAGATATAACTGTATACAACTATTTTGCAAAATCATTATTTTGATATTAACAAACAAAAACTAAGTATAAAGTATCACTTTGTACCAGAATTTATTTTTAATAAACATTTTTTCTGGTCTTTAATTCAAACACTCTGAAATATACTTTATACTCACTTGCTACTACTTAGCTCTATATAAATGAAGTGGTATTATAAACAGTTAATTGGTCCTTTGAAGTTGAAATCATAATCTACGAAGTTACATTTTTCTTACACAATTAATTCGTAATCTAATCTTTTTTTTTTTTAGAAACTTTTAAAAATATTTGATTTAACTATTGATTAATGATACACAAGTAAATTAAATTATGATAAAAAAAACTATCTAAAAGG